CACGGCCGCGGCGGCGACCACGGCCGCGGCGGCACGGGCGAATGCCACGAGATCTTGGGAGTTCTGTGCAGCTCAAGGGGAGGTTTGTAGCTGTGAGGCGCGGTAGTGTCGAACTTTTCTTTATTACAGACATGAAGTCCCAGTGGAGCAATAGTGGCCGTGTAGTCTTGAGTGTTTTTGCCAATGCAAGGCTTTGATGTAACAGTGTTTGATCCATCGCAACTGTAAGAGGCTTGCGATCGACGGCCCCTCTGAGTCACAGGGAATCTTATGATTTTAGCAGGGGGGCACAGGCTCACCGTGGATACCTGTGCCAACGAGCTATTCCACGATGAGGAAAGCGGAGATTGATCACCTCCGTGTACCTGCTGAAGTGTGTGGCGTTTGGTAACCATGTTCTCCTCTAGACTTCAGGCTGGTTATGTGGAGGTAGGTCGGCAGACTCTGCACGTGCCGTCGATCGCTCGAGCCGTTCGAGTAGCACTTTGAGACTTTGCATTTCGAGATGTTGGTTCTTTTGGTTGGATGCCCCTCCACTTACATCTTTTAGGCTCCATACTCCCTGGATTCTTAGGATCATGGTTTACTAAGTTTACTGAGTATAGGCCACAGCGGCTGTAGTTCACTCATAACCTTAGGTGCACATACAGCGTATACATTCCGAAACTAGGCTAGGCTTTCCCAGGTCTGCTTGAATGAGGCTTGGCTTCGTTCTTTTCCGGCCTCTCCATTTGGTTCCCCTTTCATCCTTCCCCCTCACACACACACACACACACTCCTTCTTCTTTTCCTTCTTCTTTTCATGTCTTCTCCCTTTCATGTCTGGTCATCTCACGCCTTTCTTTTGCGCGCACGTCGGTCCGGCCTTTAGCATATACGTGCACTCGTATATGAAACCCAGCTGCAGGATGAGAAAGCATGCTCTCTTCCCTCCTTCTCCCTGCTCTCTTAGTAGTTTTTATTTGTTGGATGACAGCCACCTTCCACACTGGCGCAGTGACGGCACTCCCGGCGCTCCACTCCCATCAGGGCCGACTGCGCTGGGGCACTCGGAAACAGTTCCGAACCTTCGAGCCCCGGGAGGAGGGCGACGGGGCGCGGCGTGGCACCATAACAGCTTTAGAACAGCTTTTGATTGAACAAAAAGGGTCCCGGAATGGTTCACTATATTGTTTGTGAATAGGTCCTAGGCCCTTAGGTTTAGGTTTGGATACCAAAGCTATAAGTGCCCAACCCACCTTGAACACCCTTGGACGAAGAACGGCCTTTCCTTCTCGGCGCGCACCGGCGCAGCGTCGAGCAGGATGGCACCTGGCCCTGCAACTTTGAGACCTTGGGAGATCCCGCGCCAGGACGAACCCGACCGGTACCGGAACGCCGAGCATTTCGGAACGCGACCGGTGGGGGGGAGGGCGATGCTTTGGGGGGTCGATCGGGTTCCGAACGCCTCGGAAAGGTGAGAAGGGAAGATGGTTCGTCGAATTCGTAGCATCTTCGAGTGATCCTGCACTGGTTTTTCAAGAATGATGACCAATCATGACCAATCAAGCTGGGGCCAGTTCTTGATCCTGTAATGATATGTTTTTCCGGCATGACTCGGGAGGCTGTTTTGCTGGAGCTTTGAGCACCTTTCGAGGAGACATCTCCAAGATTTGCGAGTGCGAGGTTGACCAGTCGAGGAAAAGCGATCGCTCGAACTCTAACATGGAGTGGATCTATTGCGCATCGCAGTTCATGCGCCTCAGACTGCATGGTGGGTGAGGTGGGTGTGTGATGTCATCCACTTTGACCAGTAATTCTGAGGCCTGCCATGGCCTGCCTAGCTAGAAGAGCTTGGACACTTTGGGAGAACTGCGACCAGGTTTTGCGAGCGTTGACGACTTGGAGAGAAGGACTTGGACCATCGCTTTTTTGTAGCGATGGTAGAACCTCTCCCAACCGAGTGTCCAAGGTTCGCTCGAAATAGATTCCGTTCGAACGTGTTCCCATGTCTATATGAGAGGGGAAGTAAGCTGCAATCAAGCATTCTGTACAGTAGAGAGGAACTGTTTTGTACTTCAATTATTTACATAGATATGTTCATTCCAACCAGGACCTAAGGAATTGCAACACCTGCAGCTCATATAGTGACTAGTAGAAATTGGAGCAGAACATGAGATCTGATTGGCAACAGCACTCTTTTTGGCCACTCAGACATGGTGACTCGGTCCCAGCATCCACATGAAATCCATTGAGGCCTAGGAGGCCCTGTCTATTTCCACCTACAAGGAAAGCTCCCCTCCACTGCTTGATACTGGTAGCTTTTTGTTACTAGTAGCGACGCACTTGTTACTATAGTAGCATCCTTGCTACTGGAATCTCCCCTCTCCAGTTATCGACCTCCCAGACCTCCTTCGAAGCCACACTTCTCCGCTTCAGCCAGTCACTGACCCTCGCCATGACGACCGGCGCGTCCGACTCGATTGGGGACCAGTCGAGGCTTTGCGATTGCCCAGGGAGGATCCGTTGGGGCAACAAGACGCTCGGCATGTGGTTTCGTCGGTGCTGCCGAGACTGCGGTAGTCTTCAAAGACGAGGGTCTGAGCGATTGAACGATCTCTTATCTTTAAAGGGCAAGGCTGTAAGGCTGCAAGAGCTTAAACATGCAGATGCGTTCGAACTTGCATTGTTCTCTACTTGGAAAACAACTCTTGAATAAGTCAGATTTGCTGGCTGCCATTGGCCAACAATGGCCAACATCCAGAGCCATTGTTCGATGACAACCGGAGTTGAACCTTGTCTTGGCCAAATTCAAAACGGTTTGAGCACACGAACTCCATCTTTTGGAGGTGAAAAAGCACCTGCCAAGGAATCGATGGAAGATCTTCCCAATGCAAAAGAAGCCTTTGGGCTGCAACACTGATCTAGGACTGGGCGGCTGTGTTCCTGTGTTCCTACAAGCTTTTCCCTTTCAAACTCATTGGATTCTACTCCTCAACTTGCCAACTGCAGATCAGGATCTTTAGATCCTTAGATCAGACATGCTGAAATCGCTTGGTTGTCAGCGCTTTCTCTATCAATTCTTTTTGGGGAAGGGAGGACCAAAAACACCAACACCCTGGCAGCCTTCTTGGTTTGAGATGGGGACACTGCCTGCTGCCTGCCTGGAACCTGCGGAGCTTCGGTGGCCGCCGTTGGGATCGGTCGACTGATGGATCCGGTCCTTCGAAGCGAGGATGAGACGTGCTTTTTTTCTTCTCGTTTTCCACGGAGAACGGGATTTTGTAATTCTTTTTTGTGAGGCAGATCAAATCCTTTTCTTTTTCAGAGCGCACGGTTTGGGGGTGTCCAAAAAGACCCATCTTAGAGGTTCTATAGAGGTTGTTGTTCGGGTGCCCCCCTCCCAAAAACCACGTAGCTGCCGCCACAGGAGACCCTGCGCCAGGGGATGCGGGAAAGCACTGCGAGTGCGAACTGGATCCCCAGTCGGCGCTCTACCGGAAAGTGAACCCTTCGCTCAGGAGACGCTGGGCGCGCAGAGTGGATGGAGGGGAGACAGGAGAGTGGATGGGTGTGGACACTGTCTGGAGAGAAAAAGGCTTTGCAAGCATGTTTTTAGATGTTAATAAGTTAATAGATGTTACCTGATGTCAATAAGCTAATATTCCTCTCAGGTATTGTTTCACGAGGTTTTTTGTGGGAAGCATCGATGTCCCGGGGGACCTTGTGATGGAGGAGCTGGACCAATCCGGGTCGTCACGAGCTCGATGCTTTTTTGTCTTCCTCCTGCACAGCCACGAGCTCGATGTAAAGGATTTCAAGGGCCATATTGGAACATAGTTCTTTGTTTGTAGTTCTTTGAGTTTCCAGGTTTGGACTGGTTTGGGTCCTGGCAGTCCTGGCAGCTTGTGATCATGAAGTCCTGCCATGCAGCCCAAGGAGGAAGTGTTCACCGTGTTCATTTCTCCAATCGCCGTTCAACCTCCTGAAGCAGCTCCTTCCAAATCTGCTGACTTAGTGTGTAACATGATGTAACATGTTTAACGTTCATCTTCAATCTTCACGCATGGATTGGTCCTTCACCACAGATGAGGACCAATTCGCTATTCGTAGAAGGCAATCTTCCTACAGAGGTTAAGTGACCTTATAGGACCCTACAGGGTACCTATAGGATAGTCTAGTTCGGGTTCTTCAACCTCTGCTGGTTAGTGGCAACCCACCCGTGCCACTCGCACCACGTCTCGGTCGTGGTGGGTTTCAGCATGTCGAAGCCGAGCGCCGACCCGAGGGGAAGTGACTGCGCCGGTGATCTCCTGCGAGACCTTTGAGACCTCGAAACGCAGAACCCCGTGGGATCGAGAGCAGTGGAGGGCCGTGGAAGGCGAACCAATACGTCAAACAGCGGACGGGAAGGAAGGCCGTGGCCGGAAGGGGGGCCGTCCGTGTTTGGGACATCCGAAATCGAAGAGAAGCGAAGGCTTCTGCTCAAGAACTCGCTGCAAGACACGCCGAAATCTCAGTTTTTGGATCTTCAACCAGCCCATGCGAGTTTCATCCACCAACAAGATCCACTACACTCAGCTTGGAAGGAGGTGCCACTTTCCAAGATACCCCGGAGGTTTTGAAATCCCATCATACCAGCGCCCAGTATCTAGTATCAGAGGAAGCAGAGCAACTACAAAAACAACGAAGCATAACACTTTCAAAAAGAAACGGGAGAAAAATGGGCAGAAGAACCATTGGGGAAGAAAGAAAGAACACCGAAAACAAAACACAGAAAATCACATGCAAAACAAGGGGCAACAACAGAAATTCTAGAGTCTAGAGAGTTCACAGTGACACGATCCGACTTCTCCACGACGGACGACGACACGACCCGGCCCACCGGCGCCAGGCCTTTGCGCGGAGCCGACGTCGCCCCCGCGAGGGCCCGAGGCGTTGACGTCCCGCGAGCTGCGGCAGATGCTGGCGGCGTGGATCAGCGAGGGCTTCGAAGCGAACTACCAGACGCGTGGCTCGCGTGCGGTGAAGGTGGATGGAAGGAGTCCCGAGATGGGGTTGGAGTTCGGAACCGGTTCGGCAAACCGGTTCGGGTCCATTCACCCAAGGTTCGGCGCAAAAGCGATGGAACCGAAGCGCACGAGATGGGACGACTGGAGGTGGTGAAGGTGGATTTTGGTCCTAGATGCACCGCAAATAGACCCATTCGCCACTTGGACCTACTGTAGCCAGCTTTGCCCAGCACATGGCAAACAGAGGTTTCATGTCGACATGCCTGGTGGACCCACAGAATGAGGATTCAATTGGTTACGCAGCTTCTTGCGGAGCCAATGAGGCAGGAGGATGACTTGGCATGCCCCGAAATCCGGCCGGTTCGAGGGAGTTCGGTTGGGGCACCGCGCAGCAGTTCGGGCGGTTTGGGGTTGGTGGAAAGGACCAGAAACCCGACCACCGACCACTGAGGAAGCTATACAAGCACGGCTGGTTGGAGGCAGGGGACATGGCCCCGGGCTGTGATGCTGAAGGTTGAGTTTGGATCTGTTGGTTCGACTAGAGTTGAATGATGCAAAATCTCCACACAGCCACACACAGCCCTGTACCCCCTCTCATTTCTTTTATGTCGACGTAGGATTAATAAACGGGGACCCCCCCCCTTCAAGGTCAACAAGGTCAACAAGGTCTGAGGTCGGAGGTATTTGAGGACCACATCCCCTTAATAAAGATGATTACCTGATGATGGATGATGAGATGAGGACCTGGACCTGATGATGGATGATGGTTGATGGGATTCTGTGCCATGAGAAGCCATCAAAACGATTGGTGAGCAGGATGAGGCAGTTGAGAGGTGGTGGTGGGAATCAGGAAGATGAGGAGATGAAGATATTGAATCCTAGCAAAAAAAAGAAATCATAAATACAATAGTAAACTATTGTTTTTGGGGCAGCTGGGATTGATTAATAGGGGGAGGTTTTTGCCTAGGAAACAATTATTAGGGTGATGCCAAGGTGGACATCTAGGTTTTAAATTAGTTTAGTATTGGGGGGTCGAGCTGGGATTGATTAATAGGGGGTGGTTACTTAATCCTATGTGCGCATTAAACATGATCAAAATACCCACTTCTACAAGATCCTGCATGCCAGTGGACCATTCTTTCCACTTCGCTCGGTGACTCCCGCGCCGCCCTGTCTCCACGCTTCTCCCACTCCCGGTCTCCGCCCCTGTGTGACACGCTGGAGGAGGCCTTCGTGAACTTCATCGGTCCGGCGCCGGGCGGCTCCAAGTGGGCGTTGATCAACGAGCAGCTCATCCGCTCGGTCCACCTCTTCTCGGTCGCTCGGTCCGAACCGGGAGAACCTCCGAGGGTCCGTCCGTTTTCTCAGGGGTCCACCGGAAAAGGTGCTTTTCTTTTGAATGATAAAGGTGCAGTGTAATAATATATGATAATATGTGTGGAAAGGTTGCACGTTGGCGTCATCCTGGTTCCGGAACCACAACCTGTGACATTAACACTTGGACTGAACCTTTCACCGTATCTCACCTCAAACTCGAGTTCGAGCAGTTCGAGCAGTTCGAGTTCACCCGCAAATCTCCCGACCGCCGGGCTTTCTCCTGCCCGCGCGGGGTGTCTTCCCCCCCCAGACGGCCGCGGGGGTCCGCCCACCGGAAATCCCACAAGCCGTTCAGCGCAATGGAAGGAACTAGTAGCTTCTTGTTCCGACCGTAGCAAGAATGCTACTATAGTAGTGATGCCCAGTTTCGCCCCGTTCGTCGCGTCCGAACGCTCCGTTCGATGCCGCGATGCCCCTCCGTTCGCGACCGATTCGCCTTCCTCACCGAAGGAACGGCCTGTGGTGGTGGTGCACTTCGGAATGCTCACGCCGGACGAATGGGACCCCCAACAGCCGCGGCCTTAGTTCGGCTGGTGCGGGGCGGAAGCGGCGCGAAAGCCGCGCGGCCTTCGCGCGGCTGTGGAAAGTCTTGGTTGATCTGAGGAACAGAAGAGTACTAGATAGAGCAACAAGCTCAAGCTCCCTTCGAGTGCCGGAGGATATAGTTTGTGGAGCACGGCTAGGTTTTTTTTGTATTTCATGGACTGAAGAAATGGACTCAATGGACCCCGTGATACCCCGTGGCTTCCCTTGCTTTCTTCACACCGGCACTTTGGCTGAACACCTCCGTCACTTTGGCTGCTTTGACCTCAGCTTCTGGTGGACGAACTGCTTAATACCTCTCGGTGCCTCTCACAGTTGGTTGGAAGGTCGACAACATCAACTGTGGAAGCCAAGTCGCTTGATCTACCAAGTCACCTGCCAAGCCGGTCGTCGAGCCGGTCGTAAACGGGTCCGTCTGAGGTATCCATGGCTGGTGGTCTTGCACGCAGCGCCCTTTCCCACAGAGGTGCGACGATGCTGCGATGGCCGACGATGCTGCGATGGCCTCCACATGAAAAGTGAGCTGATGAAAGAAGGGTCCAACATGAAAAGATCATGAAGAAGAAGCACTTGAGGGTTTTAATGTCTAACAAGTTCATCACTTCATCCCTATCTGTAAGACGATCTATCTAAGAAGCGTGTTTCCACACTTAATTCAGGTCAGCTCCCAAGAACGATGAGTCTGATTTCCGCGCCCGATAAACCCAGTTCACCGGTCTCCGTCGGTCCACTTTTGATCGATGCGAAGGTCTTCCGGCGCTTCGATCTGAACAAGTATCGATCCTTCTTGATCGCCAGGGTCAAAGCAGGCCCGTTTTTCGAAGCTCGAGCCACAGGTCGTTGGCTCTGGTGAACATCATGTCGCTGTTGACTTGATGTTCGAAAGAAATGACACACACAAAAGTTAGCTGACAAAAAGACAACTTACAGTAGGTGTTTGTGTGATTTTGTTTGGCTGAGAAAAGCCAGGTTCGTTGGTGGACTATAAAAAAAAGAGAGGCTTCACCAATAGACACATGAAATTCATGGAATTCACACGACGGGTGCACCGGGTGAAGGAAACCCGCCTTCGTGACGGAGCGACGGAGAGGGCGCGGACCTCGTACTTCGTGGCGCCAGGCGTGCAATTGGACAGTGACCAGTTCGTGGCGCCTGGTGTTGATCGGCTCTTTCAGTTGGCGATGCAGGGCTTTGAGATTGCGGGGTCTGGACGCCTGGTTTTTTTTTCCCACCAAGAACACCAGAAACCAGGTTTAAAGTTGGTACCCTGACGGATGGCGCCAGCTTGACATCCTTTACGGGAGTGCGTGGGACGGAGACAGATCCATCCAGGACTGGGTTTGCAGGTGATTCTCACCCATTTGACCCCAAACATAGAACGTGTCGCCTCACCCTGCAAATCCTACCCTGCAAATCCTACGTTTTCTGCATCCGAGACCATCTCACGTTGCCTCATCTGCACATCGATTCTCTTGATGTTCAGCCTTTCAATGCCGTCAGCTTGGGCTCGTTGGGTGTCTGCTGGTGCTTGTTTTTCATTCTTAAGTGTTATCCATACCTTCTTCAGCTAGGAGACAACGCATACAGGCTTTCTCGTTCATGTCAACCATTGGAGCGGACACGGGTTGCAGTGGGAGCTGACAGAGGCCGATGCAAACAGGGCCACGATGGGCCACGGCTCTCGGTGCCTAGAACCTCCAACTCCCAAGGCTCTCCGCAGTACGAGCATCATGAGATACCATGGGTTCGGTTGCTATCACTGGATGGGAGATGGGTTATCCCAAAGATGTCTTCTCTCATGTGCTGCTCTACGACAACATACCGATGAGCAGCATGTTGCTTCGTTTCTCTTCGGGGACCCATTCCGCTGGACGCGCCGTCTAAACTGCTTCTGCTCAGGAAGCGGGAAGGCTCTGAGACCTATCCGCTGCCCATCTTGCCGGTGCACTTCCTGCGCAACGAGGAATTGCCCATGCAGCTGAGAGCAGACTGTTAGAGACGAAGGGAAGGTAGGGCGTCACTGTAGCTTCAAGCAACAGTGGCGCCACATGAGAAAGCCAAGCACGAAAGCGTTCGACTACAATACGACAAACCCTGGGAGTGATAACACACCATGTCACACCAACCCTTTCTCTCAGAGCTTGATCAAAAGCCTTCTCAACTAGACAACGTCATGGCTAAATGGCTCAACGTTTCTTGCATGCCGCACGTCCGGAACCTGGACGTCCAGTCGGGCGTTCTTTCAGGTATCCGGGCAGCGTGACACGAGAAGGTGTGACGATGAGTGGCGGCGTGAGCCATGTCTTTGAGCCATGTCTTGAGTTCTCCAAGTTTCGGATGTGATGTTGCCATTTTATGGACCTGCAAACAGAAAGCCCAACTCCACAGCATAGGACAAGGACAGTTTCGCTGATCATGGCTGCACGTGGCTGGGACAACCAATTTTCCAGGTTTGGATTGTGTCCGCAGGCAAGGTAAATCGGTAGGACAAGGATGGAGGGACGTGAAGAATTCAGAGAGCAAAGAGGTCAAACTGCCCTCTTCACCGATGTGGGACTGGTTGGAACAAAGACTGGGAACATCTGGGAACTGATCAAATCTTTTCATTCCAAAAACACGAGGTTCTTACACCAGGACCCTCCTGTCGGGGTGCCCTGTCTGGAAGCCGGTAGTGTGGGGTAGTCCAGCCAGGACACCCCGACAGGAGGGTCCAGGTAGGCGAGGTTCTTGGTTTTTGTTTTGAAGCATGGATGATTTATCCTTTGGCCTGTCAAAAGGCGGCAGGCCTCTTTATATCTAGGTCTTCCAACCATTATGCAAAACTACTGCGTTTTGGCTGGTCTTCTAGATGAAAAAACATCAATGGTGCACTGTTGGAAGATCCATCATAGATCATAAATAGCTATGAGTCATCTGGACGGTCACTCGCCCCCCGCGCCGCATCCTCACCCCTCCCTTTGACCCATTCTGCCCCGTCGTGCCCAACGACGTGACTCGCGGACCGCGTCGAGGACCGCTTTTGCCACCGGACCTCTTGCAATGTCACCACACGCGGCTCGGCGGACAGCTGGGGCGACCGGGACAACCGGTGCTTCGAGACCGGGACGACCGGAGCGGACAGAGAGCGCGGGTATCGATCTCGGCGCGACGTTTGGGATTGCTTCGATCTCGGCTTGAAGCCCTGACAACGGCGCGACAAGGGATGTTTGTTTTTGATTTGGTTGGTTGGTTGGTTGGTTGGTTTGGTCTTTCAAAACTCGATGTTCTTGGATTTCATGCCCCAGAAATCCTTTGAACATCCGAAGCCGAAGCCCAACCTGGGTTTCGGACGAGTCCATCAATTCCCCACAGGGTCGACCCTGTTGTGGTCATAGCATGTCATATCTCGCGAAAGTTTTTTTTTTCGAGTTCGCGAATGTTAATTTTTGTTTCGCGAAAGATTCGCGAAAGTGTGCATGATTTTTTATTGTATGTTTGCAGTTGTGGCTTGAGAAGTAGCCCATCCTTTCCTGACCGTCAGCAGCTTCAAATTTGGAATCCGTGTGAAGCTTCCTTCCTGTTTCATGTAGTCCACCCTATGTTATGTATGCCGTAAAAACCTCCAAAGCACAGGGATGATTTTGCGAAAGTTTCGCGAAAGTCTGGCGAAGGTTTCGGCGAATGAACCGGCTCCAGAGGAACCCCGTAGCCCATAGCAATCCCACAAATTTATATAAAGAAAAGCTTGTTTTTTTCATTATGGTAGAACAGCGCACAAAGAAGCTATAGGCATCCTCGGCTTGAGTGGTAGCACTGCACCATGGATAGACATGTAGGAAAACATGTGCCAACAAAATTTTGCTCCAACACCAGCTTCCTGTCTGTAGCATCCTCCTGCTGAACCAAAAACACTCCGTGCACTTGTATTTAGAAATCCAGTCCCTACAAGGTTTATATAATGGTGTCAAGAGATGGTGAACCCCCGCGAAAGAAACACACAGGGTTCGAGAAAGTTTCGCGAATGTTTTTCTTTTTTTTTTTTTGCTGCGAAGAATGGGCGTTTCAACAAACAAGAATATTGGACAACCACCATATACATGTATTGGCAGCCCCGCACCGCGCCCCGCGCGGCCTTTTCCGCCATTCGGGCATGAGAGTCCCTGCACAGTCGCGACCACTGACGATCAACACTCCTCTTAAATATTTTTGTACGTCCGAGTGATCTTCGACCCTGGGATGATGCTTTGACTTCCCATGGATCCGTCACCTCGAGCTCGGAAGTACTCGACCAAATCGCGAAGGCCAGGAGAGCCGGACTGGTAGTGTGAATGACAGTACGCTCGATATCCAGCAATCTCTGAATCCGTGGCTTCGTACATCTCATCGTACGACTTGAGGCCCTTGTAGCGTCCAAGTGCTACGAGCGTCTTGCCCCACTGAGTCACATTGGCCACTCCCGGTGGCAGGCCTTCTGTCGTTGGCAGAGGAGTCGGCTTGTCTGAGGATGATGGCATAGGTGGCGCCGGAACGAGCTGGCCTGCACAGTATGGCGTGGTCTGCTTCACATACATTCCGACTTGGTTCACTGACGAATCCTCTCGAAGCCTCTTGCTGCCATCCGTCATGGATCCGGTTGGCGTGCCAAGCCAAGCTTCATCCAGCTCTACATCTTCGAGGTCACGAACCCGGCGCATGATGTTGTCAAAAGCACCGTGCTTACGAGCCTTCCGAATGAGGTGGAGACATTCCTCCGCCTCTGCCTGAGAGAAGGCGTCCTTGGAGCTGGTCATAGCCATGACACTTGATCGAAAGCCACAAACAAACGGCCCGGTGCTATCACGCTCCGGTTGGAGAATCCTGGATCCACAACCACGGTGGATGACACATGGTGTAGTCTGAAATATTAACTTAATTTGAGGCCTCTACCAGACATGTTCTATCACGTCCTGACAAGACATCAACAAAAAACATGCACATCAACTGCTTTCACAGGTGGGTGTACCGACGATTTGAGAATCCAACACAATGCACCCTACAGTCAACACTCTTGAATGCTCGCATTCACCCTTGAGACTAGACTGTCTTAGATTGTGTATTCTATGGATTATCCTTCTTGCTCTAGCCCTTGACTTATGGTGCTCGGATCACTGGTCGGCTTGGAAGCGAATTGTTTTCTTCGCTCACGTTCAAGGGCTCTTCGTTCCAGGACAAGCTCTTCTGGGCTGATCTGGTACTTAGCACTTCTAAGGCAGGCACGTAACAGGTCAAAAGCTTCCGGGCTCTCTTTGGTGAGAGAGTCGGCAAGCATGCGGTTGGTGGGAATCCACCGCAGATTTGCCTTCAACCTATGGATGCTGTCACGGAGAATCACTATGTCTATTGCTGTTCTCCTATCATCGAGAGTCGGCGATGATTGGGATGTGAGATGATCATACAGCGATTTGCAATCCGTTACCAACATGATCAATCGGTTGCCTAATCCCTCCCACAAGCTATGTGACCATCTAGGACCATCTAAAGCTTCTGACATAAGTAGGCTTGCCCATTCCAACATGCTAGATGCGGTTGACATACTTTGAGCCTCGGCACTAAGAGTGGAGCTGACGACCCTCGGTAACCTGGAGCTTTTCCAAAAGGCAGGGGACCACTGGCAATCCATTCCTTGATTGACATGTTCATGAACAAAGCTCACCATGTAACCTGCTTGAGTCGCACCAGCCTTAGCATTGGCGAAAGCAGCGTCTGAGTGACACATCAGTCCAAGGTTCTCAGGTGGAATTGCGCAAAAGCGAATGGACTGATCGGCATGCTGCTTGGCCCTCCTCACTGCATGGTTCGCAGCGATGGCGTCTCCCACAGTCGGTGTCGGAAACGCTTGCTGGGAAAAGGACACTTGAGTGGCCAAATCTGGCCTCGACTGATTAGCCAGCCAATTTAGACTGCCGTTGATCGCCCTCAAACAGCTGATTTCCTTTGGATCTAACGGTGCATCTCTGTTTCTAGCTCTTTCACGACTGAGGTGGAGAGGTCGAATCTTTTGGGAAAACCGTTCCTGATTCATGGTGATTTCATAGGTCTGTGGGTCTTGTTCATATTGGCTACCACAAAAGTCACCTGAACCTAAGCGCCATTTCCTAAACTCAAACGTCTTGCGAAGTCGGTCAATGGCTTGGTTATATCCTGGTCCATTTCCCCCAGTCACACAGTCGTCCACATGGACACCGTAAACACCAGTCAAAACCCCATGTTCTCTGAAATAAAACAGGCACGAATCGAAACGAGACCGTTCAAAGCCTACTTGAATGAGTTCGTGATGGAGCTTCTTATACCATGCGGCCGGAGAGTCATTAAGCCCGTACACATGTCCACAAATCTCAATCAAGGCATTTTCAGGAACTCCGGGGATACCCCCACGGGGTAAGCTGGCGTACAATGGACGATATCTCTGTGGAAGGTTACCTGCAGCTAGGAATGCTCCTTTTATATCCCCCAGGGCCATGTTCCAATGATGTGATGCTATCAGTTGAAACAGCATATTGCGGCCGACTTGACTGAGGGTGGGACTCTGCAAGTCTCCATGCATGGCCTTTTCACTGAGGTCCGGGTCCAAATGACCCTGCAGGCACCAACGGGCTTTCATGCGTGGTGCACTGTCATCCTCTTGCTTGACAGTGATGACATATCGACTGCCCATGATCCGGTGGCTCAGGTGTTGCCGAACGTTGTCCGCTTCTGGTCCCAACACTAGACGAGCAGCATGTTTTGCCAAAATGGTGTTCCACTCCAACAGTTTGGCCTCATCGATCTTGATCTGAATCTCGGGTGCATTTCCTATTACGGGAAGTTCTTTCGAAGCCTTCTTCTTGACATAGGCTGCTACTAGTGCTTCATGGCATGCCCCTTTTTGATACATGTCTACCAAGTCATTTATGTCTTCTAGTGACAGGTCATGGTTCTTGGAACTATGGTGGTATTGCTTGAGGCACTCAACTGAACAAATGGCTACCTCGTCCTTGACATAGGTCTGACCTACCTCTTGCACATATAGTTCATCCATGTCTTGGCTAGGTTTCTTACCGGGTGGTTGATCACCTGGGCCAGGCTCATCGGCCGGTCGCTTGAGACCCTTGTGTGGCTCTGTGGTGGACTCTGGCTCGACTGGTTCCGAACCGGATGGAGTCGATTCAGCAGATCCCATGACACGGTTGATCAACTGCGGCACGATTTCTTGCATCATTTCTTGGAAATCATCTTGTGCCATACGGCTCGGCCGGTATAGAGCTGCGGGCCCATCCTTCTGTGGGATGCGTCTACGAGCGGGTCGAACAGGGCCATATCCCGTCTCGGGATCTACGGTCTCAGCGTTCCTGGGAGGTTCGGGTATCCCTTTAGTGCTACCACTTCGAGCATATGGTTCTGCTTGATAATCGGTGGCTTTATCCTCAACAGGAACTTGATTATCTCCCACACTAGACAATGGTGGTGGTTGACTGTTGACCCTTGGCTCACTCGGACGCACGGAAGACGGGTCGGTTGCCCGATGTTCCGCACGATCTGACACCGATGATGGCTCATCGACAGGCACAGGCTCTCCGGAAGGCATTGCTGGCAGACCAGGGTACTGCTCTGGTACAAGGTCTATGTACTGTTTACTGTCAAGCTTACCGGATTCAACCAGATGCTTTATCCCTAGCAAATCCATATGGGGTGTCTCGACGAGTTTCTTTTCGTCTTGGGTTGATGGTCGAACCTGCTCGGGAGCACACCTAAAGATCTGACGTTTATGGATGAGCACTACGTTCCGACCTACATATCCCAGCACCACGGCAGGACCATGCCATCGACCGGTTCTATCGAGAGACCCATGAATCCACTTCTGCGAACGCCAGAAGGCAACATACGTGCCTGGCTCATGCCATTGATTTGTCCGTGGTCGAGCAGCAAGCGCCAACCGAAGTGATTTGCTATCTTGCAAGTCCAGAACGGCCTTCCGAGCGGACTGCCGGATGGCCACTTGTTTTGCCAAAGCCTCTTCGTACAAGGAGGAGGTTGCAGGCACAACATCAAGAGGCTCATCGAGCAGATTCTCAGGAATCCGAGGATTCTTGCCAAACACAAATTGGGATGGCGTCATCCCGTACACTTGGATCAGCTGGTTCTTGCAATGGGCGGCATTGACGCAATCTATCCATTGCTCTTGATTGGCTGGTACATGCTCGGAGAGTACTTTTTCGAGCACCCGTGCGAACCAACCTCCATGGACCTCAACCTTTCCTAATTGCCAATGGGCGTCAGCCGCTATCAACTTAAACGTGGCGCCACCCTGTTCCAAGATAGATGCAAAGGCATCTGCCAAGTTCGCTTTATGTGGATCGCACACAATCTCTTGCGGCATACCGGCCCATGAGACCCACCTTTCCATGAAAACCGTTTTGAGGGTCTGGGAGTTCTCTCTTTGAAAGATAGGCACGACAATTTGCAGGGAACTAGCATGATCTATGATGTTCACAGCGGGAATCCTTTGGTTTACCCCCCATCCAGGAAGGTATTTGATATCAACACCAACCAGGGCATTGAACTCTACCACTCTCTGTGGTTGTGCTGGCAGGGCTACCTTTGGGCTCTTCTGCGCAAGACATTGGTCGCAATGGAAGTCTCTGGCGGCATCGATGGCTGTCTGAGACGCACCTCCATGTTTCAAGATCCTGAGCATGTGTTGATTTGTTGGATGACCCAAATTTTGGTGTAACCTCTTGAGACTAGTCTTAACCTTTTCATCGGATTCTTCATTAAGCTCAGCCAGCGTATGTGCTACCAGACACTCTGTACTACTATCATCGACGAGGACCAAGCAGTCCGTCGCTGGCAACCCTCGCACGAGTCTGAGTACGGCTTTCACGAATGCTGGGGTGTACTTGGCTGCATGCTTGCTTATGGATCCTACCATGGCATGTTGTCCTGCTACAACCTGATGTGTTCGATGGCTAGCATGCGAGGATCCTGGACACTGCTTGGCCAAAGCTCTCATCTCTGCATGAGAGACCAGCAGCCGGGTGGCTTTGCGAATCAGATCACCACCTGGAACGCGAAGGCCGTAGCAACACATGTCAACCGAGATGATATGCATCTTCTTGCTGAGCTTTTCCATGGACGGTAATTTCCAGGCTATCGAGTCTCTAGGATGCTCAAACAAACATTGTCCTCCTAATTCGTACTGGAGTTCCATGAGCTCACGACAGAATTTGATGAACAACTGTGTCCAAAACTCCCTGGTTCTGACCTCATTCGGACTCATGCGCAAACGGTTGAGATGCCACCAACCACCTGCCCAGGTGCAGGGCGGACAACAGACCAAAAGCTTAGGTCGACTGACACGGACGTGCTGCATGAGAGCTTCCCGGTCCGTCCGTTTCCTGAAGTCCCAACCAGTGCATAAGTCAGCGGAAAGAACCCTCATACCTAGTTTGGAACCCTCGAGGCCAAAACGAGGTGGTGAGAACACTTCGATCACGTCGTAACGATCGCTATCGTCTCGACTCGGAGCCTTTACCTGGGCCATCAACTGACGGTGTTGTTTTGCCGTCCAGTGCATGATGTGCAACTGTTCTTCCTCAGTCGAAGGAATGGACGGCGGCGACACATGGGCGAGAAGCCGAAACACCGTTTTCCCAGTCCATGGTTTGGAATCATGAGGTGCATGAGCTTCCATCGGATTAGTCCAATCGTCCTGAAGGTCCCTGATTATGGAAGTGGGGTCATTGACCTGTGTGACTCGAACATGCTGCAAACGGCTCACCTCGACTGGACATTGTGTGTTACAGGGAGTGAATCGATGCGTTCTTGGCTTGAGGTGATGACGAATCACAGTCCTATCCTGAGGCCGATATTCCCAATAATCTTTACACTTGTTAATGTGATGATTATATTCGACCGAGAGGCAAGGTGACTCCGGCGTTTCGGATGCCGGGATTGGCTCAGGAAACTTGCTCGAGGCATCATCTGGAAAATCAGTGACGCGGATCGAATACTGTCCAGCTGGATTGATTTCCATCGGAATGTTCACCTTTCCAGAAAACAGGGACAGCTGATCGGTGGCAAAGTCAATCTGAGCACCTAGCCTTTGCATCGCCGGTCTCGACAGCAGGAGGGGTGCAGCCCCCTTCACAATGGCTGCTTTGATGTAGCCAGGCCTTCCGGCCAAATAGACAGGCATGTCCACGGCAGCTGTACTGGTTTCTTGTTGACCATTGCCGAACCGGAAACTGTTCTTCTCGGCCCTCTCCGAGGGACACGGAATGCCGTGAGTCTTCCAGATCTGGCAGAAGGCCTCGTAGGTGGAACGGCCAATGATGGTCTTGCCGCAACCGCTGTCCAAAATGGCATAACCTGGACTGCTGACCAACATCACTTCAACATCACCACATGTCGCAGCAGTGCAAATGAAATGCTCTGTACCATCTTGCTCAACCACCTGCACGGCTCCAGCAGCATGGCTCGCGTGCGATGAGGCACCAGACGTTGATGCCCCGGTGGACTTGCATTCACGTTGCCAATGGCCGATCTTGCCGCATTTGCGGCAACGGGTCCTCTGCTTGAGCTCCACTTGGATCCGGAAGGAACGTTTGGTGTCTTTGCCAGCGAACTGTCCTCTTCGACCATCTGAGGCGGTGAACTTACGCCCCTTCTGAACCATGTTCAACTCAGCTCTCTTCTCCCGCCAGGTGGCGGCGAGGATCTCAGCGGCGTCATCCTCATCAATACCCTCAGGATCATAGCCATCATCCTGAGCAGTGAAGGCATCTTCATAGCCATGCTCCGTCAGAAAGAGCTCCACATCTTGGAAGCCGTCGTCGTCAGTCGGTCCATGGAAAGCTTCCTCGACGGCATGGGCACCATATGCTTTCTTCTTGGGCACGACGTAGTCGGGAAAGCACGATCTCATAGCCTGGGCCAGTTGATCAAATTTGAGATCACCTTGAGCTCTCGCCAGACATACGGCACGATGCTCTTCTGACATGCCGCTGCAGTTCAACAGGATCCAGCCACGAGCTTCATCGGGGAATTTGACGCCAGTCTTTCTGGCGCACTTGTCGAAGCATTCTCGGGCCCTTGCGCACCAGACCCGGACCGACTCACCCTCTTTGGCCTTTAAGGCAAAGACCTCAGCGATGTTCTCGCCGATCTCGTCGGTCCTATCCAGCTCCGGCCAACGCCGGTCAAGGAGGTTGAAGATGGCGGCTTCGCCCCCTTTGACCTGGTAGTCAGACTCTTTGAGATGCTCGACCACCTCCAGCGCTTTGCCTGATAGCAAGGTCCAGATGAAAGAACCACGGGCCTCTTCGGGAAGTTTGTCCATCGTTCTCATTTTGTTCAAGGCCCACTGCTTCCATCTGCGGTACTCCCTGTGGTCACAGTCGTCGCCACTGAAGTACCTCAGTGACGTCCCCGCTTCCATCGCTGCACAGTCGCGTGAAACGGCACACTTCCAGCGTGCCCGGAAAATCAGGTGGAGCCAGGAATGAACCTGGCTCCGCTACCAATATTGGCAGCCCCGCACCGCGCCCCGCGCGGCCTTTTCCGCCATTCGGGCATGAGAGTCCCTGCACAGTCGCGACCACTGACGATCAACACATGTATATAAATAACAATTCATTATATACACTGTACTATACTACTCCCACAGATTGGGTGATCCTCTACGTTTCAGGTTGGGGCCATGCACATCCCACCTGGACCTTCTGGGCCCTGCCCTTCCTCGGGCGCTGGATCCGCCGGCATCTGCGCGACGAGACGCTGCCGTCGTCGTCGGCGGACGAGCGCGGGCCTCGCGGGCGCAGTCGTCCGGTGCCGGCGCTGCGGGTGAGTAGCATCGACGTGGAGACTTGGGGTGAGAAGCCGTCGCACGAAGGTTTTGGGGCGAAGGTTGGGAGGAGTTTTTGGAGGTGTCTCAGAACTTAACATGCAGAATCGTGGAACGTGCTCTTTGAGAATGCTTCGTGTTTATTGGGACAAGTTAAAAGGATCTTTGTTGCAGTCTCTCACCTCTCTCCAAGCCTTTGCCACCGTGCTTTTCAGGTTTCTGCATCTCAATCCTTTTCCTTTCGACAGCGAAGCCATTCGACAGCTCTTTTGTAGAGACTGTTGGCAAGGGTCTCTTAAAAAGGCATGTCAGAGGGCTATAGCGGTTTGCGTGCTTTTGGAAGCTTCAATTAGGCGAAGTCGACCGCTTCGCCTTCATCTGTGGTCCTGAATGACAGTCCACAAGCTCATGCTAAGCTTGCAGAATCCGTGCATAACCTGTGGAGACTAGTAACAAGAAGCTAGTAGAAACAAGTGCCACGCTAGTAGTAACAAGTTACAAGTGCCTTACTACTAGTAACAAGAAGCTATTAAATTAAAGTTAAATTACTTTAATTTGTTACTACTAGCTTCTTGCTACTACTGTTACTACTAGCGTGGCACTTGTTACTAGTAGTAACAAGAAACTACTAGGGAAAGGACTGTGACGTACGTGTCAGTTCTTGAACAAGACCTTCCCATCCGCGTTGCGAAAGGCCGGCCTTTCGTCCACGTGCCAACACGTTTGTAGATGGGTGGTTCCGATCCGTCACGCCCCACGCGTGGACGCGTGGCAGACGTGGGGGAGGGACGGCGCTTTACCGTGGGTCTCCACCCGGCCACCGTGGGGTCCAAACAGAGCGGCCCCCATAGCCTCCTGAGCTCAGGATGAAGACTTGCTGAACATCGGTACCTGGGAAGAAGGTGGCTGGAAGTCGCCTGGCCCATTGGTCGTTGATGAAGCTCATTGTAGCCATTGTTGTGCATCTTCTTGAGCTTTGAAAAGCCAGTGAACGATGAACAATTTGCCCAGAAACCTTTTGTAGACACATGCGGATGATGGGCCTCTCCTTATTATATCTTATTACTGTATTCAATTCCAACTTCCTTCTCAATCTTCCTTTCCCAAGATCTCTTGAACCAGATCATCCCTTTTCCCCATCTCCAGAGGCAATGGTGTAAGTACGATGTCATGGATCCCAGCGAGTTCGAACGCCTCTTGGACGGACCGAGTGCCTGCGACCGTGGACCGCGCGGCGCCCTGGTGCCGCCGCCCATCGCGGCCGACCCCGTGTTCCACCCGCAGGGCGCGCCGCTGGCCGCTGGGAGTGGTCAGTGCGGACGGGGACGGGGGTTCGGTCCGGATGCGATAGCCTCCAAGCTACGACTATAGCGAGGGCCTCCAAGCTACGCAAAGCTGTGAGCCAGTGGAAGAAGGACGTAAACGTCCAGTCCAGAGCTCCTGTCAGAATGATCGACATGTTTCGAAGTGCCTTCGCTTCCGAAAGGTGTCGATGAACTTTTGGGTCGTATTTGGCCACCTTGGAGGGTAAGGTTGGCTTCTCCGCAGAAGATGGCATCACTTTTGGGTTCCAAGACTCGCGAGCTCAATGGTGTTTGGCTTCCTACATAGGGGAACAGGGGAGCCGCCCTCCTCCATCTGTAGCGGCGGATTGGTGACACCTCGTGAGGTCTTCTACACTGCACATCATGCTGTAGATCCCAAGATCTCCAAGCAACTCATCGACCGCTTGCAGAAAAAGCACCGAAAGCCTCTCGGTCGATGGGGGGAAGTCTGATATCGACCCACCTGGTTAGACAGAGCAGTACTGATGGTGTTCTGGATGATGCACACAGGAATGGCGTGTAAACAAACTCGTCGGTGCTTGACCGCTTCAGCGAAGACGATGAGCCCATCTAAAGCAGGTGCGCAAGCGACGACGGGTCTCGCACCGTCGATGTCCGATGTTCAATGCCTTTCCTTCCTACAGAGGTTAAGTGACCTGAACTAGGACCCGTCACCAGGGGTACCTATAGGATAGTCTACCAGCAAAACCAACAACCTATGATTTCGTAGGGTCAGTGAAAAAAGACGAGGTTTTTTCAGACAAAGCCGGGCTTTTGAAAAACTCATGATTTCTGGATTCATCACATGTCTTGGTTTTCCAATGCGTTCCTCAATTGACAACAGCAAACATTCAGCAAACACATGTTCAGAACGTGTTCACAGTAAAGATGGCATGGCAAGATGCATCCCCTCACACCACACAGCCTCTCACCCAATGCTCCCCACACCTTTTCTGCCATCAACCACGTAAGTAGCCCTCCTGGACATAGTGCCACCTCGAGGCCTTCAAAGCCCTTTGTAATGTCCGGGTTATCGCTTGCTGTGGCGACACTCGACGAGAGATTCGTGATATTCGCCCGACATAGTCCTCGTCGACCTGAACCCCGTGTGATAGGGGGTTGAGCACCATTGGGGCAGCGCATGCGTCCTGCTGCATGCTGTGCACTACATGGTGCACAACGTGCACTTTCGGCATGAATATGAACAGCGATCTCCCAGCCTGAAACGCCTGCTTTGCAAGCTGCATGTAGGACACCAAAAAAGCAAAGCCCATTTGAGCAATTTGCATAGCACGACTGCTCTCAATCCACAGATCGGATGAGTAAAGTGACTTCATAAAGCCGTTGACGTGCCTTGCCGCTTGCTCCGCCAAAGGAAAAAGGGGGTCACCCGCAGTTCCATTCTTAAGAAACCAGTCAACGATGAACTCCATCATGAGTACTGTTATGTGTCCCTTAGACCATTGGCCATTGGGGTAGGTCTGCAAGTCCCCCCAACCCAAGGTCTGATTCGTGATGATGGTGAGGAAGGGGCTGGAGTGCGAAGACTCGCAGTAATCCAAGTAGCACTTCGTCAATTCTGCAAAGCGCTGGTCCACGTTGGACCCTTGCATCTGCAGAGAGATCATGGCTAAAACTGCCGCGGTGAACGTCTTTCCAACTCCAAGGTGAAACGCGTGCCAAACATCATAGGCAAAGAAGCCAGGGCTTTTACCAATTTCGTGAGGCAGATCCAGAAGGACAGGGCGCGAATTGAAAGGCACATCGCCTGCCAAGAAAAGTGTGTTTGCCCACCCTGGCTCTGGGCGCAAGTCCTCAAACGGCACCCGAAGTTGACCTGCCTGGCACAGGTGGCAGATGCCTTTGGGCTGCGATGCTGCAGCCCGGGGCCTCTTCTCCACGTTCGCAAACGATCTAGCTAAAGATCCGGCTTTTGCCAAGAACATCCAGTCCCCAAGAACTTGCAGCACCACTGCATGGTACTTCTCGCCAGAGCTCGCAACCACGCCGTCCTTCAGCGCTTGAAGAGCATCTGCTTTGACAAATGTCAGGAGGTCATCAAATGCAACAGTGTCGCGCACCATCCTCGGAAGCACCGCAGTAAGCATTCTGTGGGTATGGCTGTTTCCGCCGTAGTTCAGCCTGAAGGATAGATATGGTTTTTCCTTCCTGGTTTTGTTTGCAGAATCAGTGCCACGGCCCAGGTAGCTGTGGTACGCCATGACCAAGAAGGCCGCCTTCTTCCGCCCGCGCCCCTCATCTCCGTGGAGAAGGAGGGGCGCGGTGCGGGATAAGTCAATCTTGTGTTCCTCAACGACTTGCCAAAGTTGATGATGTGGCTTAAGAAGTCTATATCTCCTCCAGAACTCACGCAGAATATCCCGCTCCCGTGTAGGATTGGGGCGGTGTAAGCCCGTCAGAATGTGGAATGTGTTGAAGTCTACATGGAACCTCAACCAATCACACAATGACAAGACGTGGAAGTCGCCCTGATAGCGAACCCCTGGTGTTTTCACAAGACTTGTCAATGGCACTGGTAGCTGGAGCTGAAACCGTTCAGCTACGTTCTGAAAATCTCGCTCACTGTGCTCTGGAGTGCAACGGGCCAACTCATTCAACCCTTTGCTCTTTGCAGCGGCTTTTGCGCCGATATCACGCACCACTCCGCGGGCACCTCTGATGGCCGCTCTGCAGGATGAAGCCTCAGCACGGCGGCGCAAGAGTATGGTCCACATTATGCATCTTAGTTGGACAGCCAGCACGAAATGATTGCCACAAACTTTGCCACAACAACTGCTATAGTGCATGGAATGGTTGAGTATGCTCTCACTCTTGCACGCATACCTCCATCACACAAACTTGGCAAACACATCACACACGTCCATCGCACCATTTCTCAACATGCCATGGAGCAAAGCAATCCTTGAACGTGTTGGAAAGAACACATTTGGTGTTTCCCTCTCATGGGAGTGACCCCTGCATGAATTGAAGAGCAATGCACATCATTTCAAACCTGTGCATTGAAACAGGACATATATGGCTCTAGACAGGCTTGAACTTGAAAGATCTAAACACTACATAGCACATGAAAATGCCGCTCAGAGTTGTTGTCACCGTGTCGCCGCCCTTCCGGACATTCCGGCAGCCCGGTTTACCTCAATATTGCGTCGCGCGCGCAAGTGAAGGGGAATATGTTTGGCAACATTGGAAAACAATGTTGTCATCATCCGTTTCTGATATTCCATCTGTTGAATACAGAACGTCGTATATATATAGTGCAGCTAAAGTGCCCTGATACTTTTCAATCAGGGCTGACTCCAGCATTGCCGGACTAAACGGCTCAGAAGAAGCATAGAAGACGATCATGCTTGACCACTTCTCCACCGCATGCCTATATCCATAGAGACTGTTGCTCCATCTCCACATAGGGTTGTGAGTATACCCCACCTTAAATATCATAGGGTCATGTTTTGCAAAAGTCCGCTCCAGAAGGTTGATGGAATGTTGAAGCACCGCACCAGCAAGCGCATTGGCTTTCGGTAGTGAAAATGAGATGGAGCTTACGGTGGACGCCTGGGATTGGAGGTCTTGCAGCCTCGCTTGGAAATCTACACCATTTTGATCAACGCATTCATATTGGGTTGTTGTCAAGACACTGGAGTGGCTGGGGACAACATTGGCATTGGTCCCACCTGCCCTCACCACTGCGGCCAGGTGAGTGGGATGGTGTTCCACAGTCTGTCCGGCACCCAAGCTGTGTCTCCAAGCATAGGGCTCCACATCCTCCTTATTTGAGTTCACAGTGTTCCCAGGACATGATAACACATGCAAACTCGCCGAACCCACTTTCTTCCAAGAGGCTGAACGATGACAGGACAACAGGTCCATAAGTTCATCCTCAACAGATTCCTCGCTCATTGCTACCGCCATTGCTGCGGACAATTGAACTTGCATTGATCTTTGTTGCAGTCCGAACTCACTTCAAACTGAACAGATATGGAGTGTTGGCGTCGTGGGTTCAGGGTAAACCGGGTCTCACGCGCATGGTTTGTAATGTTCTGTAAAACCGGTCACAGTGACTTTGAGGCATAAACAGACTGCGGGAGTTTTCGAGAGATGTCAATGCGTTCTGACCCCTTGCCAGCCACCTGAGCTCCCAGGCTCCCTGACCAACATCCGCGGCAAAGGCTTGAAGAGCATGTCCGGCACGTGGCACGGGCAACGTCGTGGTGGGATCATGGTCATATATAAATATATAGGGTTGAACCCATGACATACCTGAAAACTGCAAAGATGTATGAACTGGGGTTCAAAGCTTGGGACTTGTCATAGCTGCCACATGTGTATTTTCTGTAGCGGCAAGCGGGCAACCCCAATGTTTTCACATCACCCGCTACCCCATCGGACTTTGGATTGAAGGTGCGTCCAAGCACGTGTCAGGGCAGGACACTCTTCCAAACCCCATTGAACAGAAACACACACGTTGAAGGATGAAGGAAACATTCTCTGGAAGAGGTCCTGCAACACGATTGGGCATCACCATGTCACACGATGAACCATGTTTGCGAAATCACTGCATTGCCACAGATGTAGGTTCTATCCTGAAAATCAGGCTTCCCACAAGTGGAGTTCAATGCTGCCAAAATGATCGAGCCAACGCACTTACTTGGCCTTCCTGGGCCTTTTAGACCCCTTGGGCTTGGGCGGGACAGTTCCTGGAGTCTCTTCTTCAGCTTTGGCCCGCTTCGGGGCTGCTCTCGATCCAGATGACTCGGGTTTGGCAGTGTCCCGACCCTTAGCCCTTTTATCAGCGGCATCAGCGCCACCATCCATATCCTTCTTCTCGTACTTCTTGGCATTCCTGGGCCGGGATGATATATAAGATAGGCTTCCGGTACCGGCCATGTGTGCTTGAACATGTGTGAAAATCAATATATGACCTGACCAAAGCGCTCGCTCACCGAGGCTCCGAGTCTTCATCTCCAAGGCACAAGCCGCACTGCACCTGCGAGATCGGATTTTGGTGGCCGAGGAATCTAATGGCCCAAAAACTGGCTTGCCTTCAAACTTAGGTCAGGACACAAGGGTGGCTGCTTTCATCTTGGCATTGGCGTCATCTACAAATCTTAGTTCAATTAAGTGGACTTTTTTTGAGGTAGAGACTGCAAGAATGTTGCTGGCAATTCTATCGAGAAAGGGCAGCCAGGAAACTTAGCATTATATCCATGGACCTCTCCCTGAGCCATCGCCCCGTTGCAAAGGTCATACTGCTCATCCATCTTGGTGAGCTGAGTTTCCAATTTCACCACATGCCTGAGTTGAGACGCGGGACACATATTCGTAAGCCACGTAAGCCATTGACAAGGGGTTCTCGGTTCTTGGATGTCATGCATCCTGGGTGAATCATGGAAACAGTTGTGTACA